TCCGGCAGCTGGGCAGGTTGCCTGGAGGCCCAGTTGCTGGCTGGACTTTTCTGTGTGCTCACACTCACAACATCCATTACGGAGCAACCCCCTCCACCCCACCCCACCCTGCACCAACCATCTGCTGTTTCTCCCCCAGCTTCCAACTCTGGGCCCCCTTCATGCCCTACCATTCCCTGCTTCTAAGGTCCAGTGCCTACACCAGCATGTCCCACCCCGAAGAGTGGCCACTGCTCCCTCAGCCTCCTGTCCCTGCAGCCACCCTCTGAGGCTGCCTGCACAGCCCACCCAAGCTGTGGGGAGAGTGGGTTAGCAGCAGAGCTCTGCTGAGACACCCCCGCCTCACTTCTGGGCCTCACTTTCTCCATCTGTCAAATGGTTTAGCAGGCATGGTGCTGAGTCCTTTGTGTGACCTGGACAGAGTCCAGTGGCACCCAAGGGCCCCTGATAAGCCTGAGCTGGGGCTGCTGATACAGCCATGGTGTGGTGGTGCTCCACCTGCTGATGGGGACGCCCCTCACCCCAGGGGGTACCCCTGGCCTGCCCCTCCCCCACCCTCTGGAGTCCTGCCCAGCCTTTCATGTCTTATCTCCCCAGTAAGAGGACCCCAGCAGTGGTTACTCAGGGGAGGTGCTCTGACGGCAGAGGGAAGAGCTGACAAGGGCAGGGCATGCAGGTGGGAGGGGTATCTGTCCAGGTTGGTCTATGGCTGGACCAAGGTCGCTGGAGGGGCTGGGGGCCCCTCACCAAAGAGGCCTCTAAGGCCAGGGGCTGACTGCCCACCATGGGCCAGCACAGGCCAGAAGGACACCAGGGTCCACCGTGTTGGAGAAACATGGAGGAGAGAGGGGAAAGCGCGAGGAACTAGCAGGAAAAGGATACAGAACTCCCGGAAGAGAAGACCGAGATAGGAGGGAAAGAGCACTTGCTCTTCTGGGATCTGGCTGGCACTCCCCAAGGCTCAGCCTCGCATCCTGGGCCCCTCCTGATGGCTTTCCTGAACTCCTGAGCTGACCCACTGTCCTGCTGTCCTGCAGGCCCGACAGATGTTCCTGGGGGAGATGGCCAGCCTGGAGGCCATCCGGGCTACAGGCCTGGTACGGGCACCTCAGCCAATCAAGGTGATTGACCTGCCTGGAGGCGGAGCTGCCTTCCTGATGGAGTACCTGAAGATGAGGAGCTTGAGCAGGTGTGTTCACCTGCATGTGCTTGTGGGCACGTGTCCGTGTGTGTCTGTGCACACGTGTGGATTCGGAAGAGGCGGGGAGAGAAGCTGGTGCTTCCGCTGGAGCTTTGTGTCCACTGTGGCTTTGGTGAGGCTGCTTGAAGGAAGCACATTTGAAACCATGGTCTGCTCCTGACTGTGTACTCCCTCAGGGAAGCATATGGCCCAATGTGATGCACTATCCAGAGCACCGTTTGTTTATCAGAAGTGTTGTTGTTTTACATGTAATTCACATATCATACACTGCAATAGTTCAGTGGTATTAAATATCCTCACTATACTCAGTTCTAGAACATTGTCTTCCTTCATGTACTCATTGTTATTAGCTCCTCCTTTGCCTCCAACCTCCTCTCCCAGGCCCCCAATAAGCCATTAATGCAGCTACTGTCTCTGCAGGTTTACCCACCCTGGATTCCATATCCAGGAAGACCACCAGCTGCAACAAAAACAACAAAAGTCTAGCAACAGTAGCAAAATTAACCAGAGAAAAACTTTAATCAAAAAGAAAGCAGGAGAAGCTGCCGCCTGCTGTGGCAGGAGTAACAAGAAATTCTTGATACTGTAGGATTCAGTTTGTCTGGTTGTGCTGGTTTATGATGACAACTACTACCATACCCAAGTAATAAATTTCCTTTTCTGTTCAACAAAACAAACAAACAAACAAACAAACAAACAAACAAAACAAAAAGAAAGCAGGAAATATTGAAAGCTAGAACACATCTCAAATGGGTCAAAAAGGAGATCAAATGATAAAGTGTTAGATTTTAACCTAAGTGCTTCTGCAACAATCCACTTCCCATTGCACGCTGCATGAAAGCAAAGCTGTTCACAGCCTTGGTCTATGGCCAGAGGCTTAATCCAGGCAGGGGCTCTACAAATGCACTTTAGGCTTCCACTGTCATCCATAAGCCTTCTGCTGCTTACCTATTTGATAAAAGTCATACGCATGCATTGTATAAGATGTGGGGATACCAGCTTGCTTCCTGAACAATTTCCTTGGGAAGGAGCAGCACAGAGCTGGCCCCTGTGAATCCTAGGTTACGGGTTTCCCAAGACACAGCTGACACCAATTCCTCCTCTCCCCTCAGTTCTCTCTCTCCTGTGTGAAATTCAGGAAAACTAAGCCAAATCACAGGAGCAGACAGCTCCATCTTTCTCCCATGGAGCAGTTGGTGGCTTAGAACTGCCAACCTCGCCGTGAATAGCTGCTGACATCGCCACCCTCAGCAAGGACTGACATTATGGCTTCAACAATGAGTTCAAACACGATAATCGTGAGGTTGGTCCAGGACACGGCAGTGTTTTTCTGTGGTCCACAGGGTTGCTCCGAGTTGGAACTGACAGCACCTAACGACATCAGGAGAAACAGTCCCTGGAGGTGGGCATAATGCTTGATAAAGTAAAGGTGCAGGGGAAACGAGGATGACCTCATGAGATGGACTGACAAGTGGCTGCAGCAATTTTGGATGGTGCAGGACCAAGTGGTGTTTTATGCTCTTGTACACTGTTGCTGCTGCTGCGAGTCGGAACTGCCCTGACGCCACATCACCACGAAGACATTTTGAAAGAAGGCTATAGAATAATCCTCAAAATGGAACAGGACAGGCTTTTAAAGAAGCCGTTCTAATAATTGGCTGTGTGTCTTCTTCCCTCAGCCAGGCATCGCAACTTGGAGAGCAGATCGCAGACTTGCACCTTCACAACCAGAAGCTTGGGGAGAAGTGGAAGGAGGAGGAAAGCACAGTGGGTACGATCAGGCCACTCTCCTGCTCCTCAGCTCAGCCCCACTGCCCCCTGCGTGTCACGGTGGTGTGTCAGTAATGGGATGATGCGTGCATCATCTTGCCTGACACCACACCTGAGAACTAGGGTGTTAGATGAGAATGTTTATGAGGCTGAGAAGTGGTAGAATTGGCCCATGGCCCCTTTTATACCCAGCCTTGCCTTCTCCTGGCTGATCCTTACTCTGACTCCTGGCTTTCATATGTAGTGCTTGTTTAGCCAGCACTAACTGGGTCTGTGATAACACTTCGCTGCAGTCTGGCCTTTAAGAGAAAGGGCGAGCAGCCCTTTCAGACCATGTATCTGTTTACAGGCCGAAGGGCTGAGGGTGCTGAGCCCCAATACGCGACCAAGTTTGGCTTCCACACGGTGACCTGCTGTGGCTTCATCCCACAGGTGAGTCTCTGGATGCCTAAGCACTGGTCCCCCACCCAGTGTAGTGGTACAGTGCCAGTCCCCCCAAGAATGCCTGCCTGGAAGCAAATACACGCTTCCATACCTGGGACAGAGGTGATTTACAGGCTCACTGAGTGGAAGGCTATGAAACAGGTGGACCAGCATTCCAAGCCAAGGGACCAGTGAGTGCAGAGGCTGCAGCCCGGAGGGGGACTGATGAGTGAGGGATTGAGGGTGGTGGAACCCTGAGAGTGGGGCCAGCAGCCTGCAGGAGATGCTGGCCCCATTCTGGAGATGCCTGAATTCTTCTGAGGGAATTGGGGCAGTCTGGGAAGGTCAACAGGCCTCAGATGCCTGGATCTGGCTCAGTGTGGGGGATAGAGGCATTTTGAGACAGAGGCATCAAACAACTTGCTGGTCACCCAGAGGAGGTGGCCAGGTGACCCTGTGAAGTAGATGGAGAAGTTGCTGTAGACTGGAGGTGGTTGGGTGAGTTTCTGTGACACAGATGTATTGGAGAGGCCCAGGCTTCACCAGTGACTGTGGTGATCTCACTGGTGGAACTGGGTATTGAGGAAGATGGCCCACATTGGGTCCCCCCACATCAGGACCTGGGGACCATGGTCTTGGTTTAAGCCCAGTCTCGCAGCATCTCTCCTGGGGCTTCTCTCATTTAGTTTCCCCCACATCCTCACCAACATTGGATAGTTTTAACTTTAGCCACGTGGAGGTGTGTGGCATAATAGGTGATGTGTTGGGCTGCTATCCACAAAGTTGGGAGTTCAAACCCACTAGCTGCTCTGCGGGAGGAAGATGAGGCTTTCTGCTGCCATAGAGAATGTGCCCTTGGGAACTCACAGGAGCAGTCCCACCTTTCCTGCAGGGTCTGTGACAGAATGGACCCAGTGGACGGCAGTGAGTTTGCTTTGTCCCCTCGGCAGTTCGGAAGCCTGGGGACAGGTCTTTCACGTCTTTGGTCATATTTAATTTTACATGTTTGATGCTAATAAAGTGGTAGCTGAACATTTAAAAAATTTCTAGTTTTTCATGTCTGACATATAGAAAAACCCACTTGATTTTTAAAAACAGATTTTGGGGTTATTGATCTGTATTCTGAAACCCTGCTAATTTCGCTTATTCTGTGGATTTTTCTTCTTCCCTCACTTAAGATTCGGTTATATTTTCCAAGATTCATGTTGCCTGTGAATGATAGTTTTACTTCTTTCTTTGTAGTCTTATGCCTTTAATTTCTTTTCTTTGAACCTCCAGTTTCTATTATGTTGAATAGCAGTGGTTAGAGCAGACATCCAGGTTTTGTTCCTGATCCTGGTGGGGGGATGGAAGCTTTCACATTAAGTGTGAGATTCCCTGTAGATTCAGGGTTTTCTGAAAGGTTCTTGGTCAGGTCGAGGGACTTCCCGTCTATTCCTGGTTTGCTGAGTTTCGTGAGCAAGGTAGGAAAGGGTGTTGGACTGAGATGAACACTTTTTTTGTTAATATGATGAATTACATCATAATGTTTTCTCAATATTAAGCCAAGGCCATTTGGTCTGTGAGTAATAATCTTATAATACATGTATCAGTGGATTCTATTTGCTAAAATGTTGTTTAGAATGTTTGCATTTATATCCGTGGAAGATATCTGTCTGTGGTTCTCTTTTGTTGTAATGCCTTTGTATAGCTGTTATGTAAGAATAATGCTGGTCTCAGAGTAAATAGGGATGTTTTTTCTCTTCAGTTTTCTGGGAGAGTTGTGTAAAGTTGGAATTATTGTTTTTCTTTAGTTGTTTGTTATAACTCACCAGTGAAGTCATGCAGGTCTGGAGTTTTCTCTGAGATCTTAATCACACAATCTCATAGTTCATGGTATTAACTTCTTCTGGACTGAGCTCTGCTGGCTTGGTGTCTTGAAGGAGTCAATTTGATTTAGGTTGTTGGCACAAAGGCCTTGAGAACCTCTCCTTACTGTGCTTGCAGCATCAGTAGACTTTCCAGTGATGTCCCCGCTCTCAAGCCTGGTGTCCACAATGGGTCGTCCTTGGGTTACAAGTTGATCTATCTTCCTGATTTCTTAAAGAGCCAGCTTTTCATGATTTCTTTTTCTATTTCGTTATTTTCTAATTAAATGTCTATCGCGTCTTCTTTCTACTGGGGTTTAATTTGTTCTTTTCTAGTTCAATAAGTTAGAATCGAAGCTCATGGATTTGAGATCTCTGTCTTTTGCAACTACTGTGTTTCTGTAAAGGTTTACAGCTGGGTCTTGTAGTAATGTGATTATGACCTGGTTAGCGGTAAGCCTGGCTGTCGCTCTTTTATTTTTCACACCTGCTCTTTGTTCCTTGTTCACTGTAGGATGGATAGAGTGCTGTGAGGAGCCCCCTTTTCTCCTTTGTGGCCTATTAGCCACAGTGGGTTGTTGTGCTGTTAGGGGCTGTTTTAAGGTTCAGGCAGAATTCCACGTGTGTCAGCCCCATGGCCAATAGCTGCAGCACGCCCTCTTGTCCCTTGCTTCCCAGGTGAACGAGTGGGAGGAGGACTGGCCGGCCTTCTTCTTCCGGCACCGGCTTCAGGCACAGCTGGATCTCATTGAGAAGGACTATGCTGACAGAGAAGCACAGGAGCTCTGGTCTCAGCTTCAGGTGGGGTTTGCCTCTCTGGAAGAGAGTGTCTTCTCACAGGCCTGCCATTCATGTGGGGTCCCGACCCCGGCACAGAAATACCAGGCCTGAGCGGAGTTGGCCACGTCATGGGCTTTTGTAGCTGAGGGTATGCTCCAGTCCTGAGTGTACCTCCATCTGTCCTTCTGTAGATACAATCAAACAGTTGCCGTCAAGTTGATGCCACCTCCTGGCACCCCCAAGTGGCACCCTCATGTGGGTCAAGTCGGAGTAGCGCCGTGCTCCACCGAGTGCTCTGTGGCTGCGTTCTCTGAAGCAGACAGCCAGTCTTTGTTTCTGGGGGGGCTCACACCCCCAACCTCCCAGTTAATTTCATTATCTGAAGGGGAGGTGACTGAGTAAGTGTGAGGTCCACAGGAGGTGGCATTTATTACAACTCTTATCATTAGGAACACCATTTCCCAGTCTTATCCTGTCCTCCCTTCTCTGTCAATGTGCAATGTCTCCCACCTGAGAGATGCAGGTGCCTCAGAGGGAATGGCTTCAGACCACAACTTTCAAAGTGTTAAGAATCAAATTCTCTCATCAGCCCATGGGAAGCACAATGAAAGAGACCTGGTTTAGCTCATCACTGGAGTCATCAGCAGGATACAAAAGAGGGGTACACACACACAGCTGGTTCACGTCCGACAGGCAACAAACCCTAACTTTCCAGGTGCTCTTCTCTCTGAAACATCTCTCAAGTTTCCCACAGTTGTCAACATTATGGAGGTGAAAAACAGCTGGATCTAAACTAGGAAGGCACTAGATGATAAGGCAGACATTGATACAAGAAGGCTTCAAAAAGCATGTGGGGAGAAATGGAATGAAAAAAGATAATGTGATGTCTCCATAAACTTTTTGAAGCCTCCTAACTTTCCCATAGAATCAGGGGCCCTTTATCCCACAATGTCTTGGTTGTCCCTGGGTGGGTCCTTGTTGCCTGAGCCCCACGGATATCTGTGGACAACCACTGCTTTCCCAGGTGAAGATCCCAGATCTGTTTTGTGGCCTGGAGATCGTCCCTGCCCTACTCCATGGGGACCTCTGGTCGGGCAATGTGGCTGAGAATGACGAGGGGCCCATCATTTACGACCCAGCTTCCTTCTACGGCCACTCAGAGTTCGAGCTGGCCATTGCTTCGATGTTTGGGGGCTTCCCCAGGGCCTTCTTCACAGCCTACCACAGCAAGATCCCCAAGGCCCCCGGCTTCGAGAGGCGGCTGCAGCTCTACAAGCTCTTTAACTACCTGAACCACTGGAACCACTTTGGGCAGGAGTACCGCAGCCCCACCCTGGGTACCATGAGGAAGCTTCTGAAGTAGCAGCCTGCCATGCCCTTTAGCCCCCAAGCTGCCCTTCTCCTTGCTTGCAAATAATCAATAAAGCCTGGAAGCCATGCTCTCACTGTTCGTGGGTGTGAGATTCCTCTGCTGTGTCCTGGTCCTCCCTACAGGGCCTTCTCTAAGAGCCTCACCACCTTCTATCATCTGAGGACAGAAATGAGTGTGAACCTGTCACTCAGGCTGAAACTACCAGGACTGGCTTCCAGCTCACACAGATTTTGGGGCTGTGTATGGGGTGTGCAATGAATGGAAGGGAGAGCATCATGCTGTGGGGTCCAGGCATCAGGCCATGGCCACAGCCTGCCCAGCCCCCCACCCCCCCCACACACACTTTTCAATGGTTTATGGGCCTTACCCTAGGGCTTTATTGAATTAAACAGGAGGGGCTGGGGGAGACCTGTGGGCAGTGGGTTGTGCGGGAGGTTAGGCTTTCTGGGCAGTACATGTGTCCAGCACCCTGGGCTTTTGTTGTGGGGTGATGAGACCTCACAGGGGCAGTGCCCACGTGCTTGGCTCTGACAGGAGCGCCACCTTCAGGACCACCACACTTCTGTCGCGGTAGATGTTATGTGCTATTGAGTTTGTTCCCACTCACAGAGACCCCAAGTACAACAGAAGGAAACACTGCCTGGCCCGTGCCACCCTCACCAGTTTTCTTATGTTTAAACCCATTGTTGCAGCCACCAGGTCAATCCACCTTGTTGAGTTTTCCTTTTTCTCTGACCCTCTACTTTGCCAAGCACGACGACGACCTTCTCTAGGTGAGCTGGGGGCCAAGAAATAAATGGATGCTAAGTAACAGAAAGAGGGACCCAGGCCTTTTCCTGTTGGACCCTAACGGAAACCTTTTTCTGCACGGTTAGAACTCAAAGGCTCTAAAAACTCACTGCTATCTAGTCGGTCAGAGTAGCACTGCCCCTGTGGGTTGTGACTCTTGAGGAGGGTAGACACCTTTATCTTTCTCCCATTGGGCTGGCTGGTGATTTTGAACTGCTGACCTTGAGGATGGCAGCCCAACACAATGCCACCAGAGCATCATACAGTGAGAATGAAACCAAAAACCAAACTCACAGCCATTGAGTTGATGCTGACTCATAAGGACCTATATGGGCAGGCAGGGTAGGGCGGTTCTGTGGGTTTGAGACTGTAACTTTACGGGAGTAGAAAACTTCACCGTTCTCTCAAGGAGCGACTGGTGGTTTCACACTGCTGAACTTGTGGATTACAGCCCAACTCTACCACTACCACGCCAGCGAGCCTTTCAGTTAGAACAGGCGCCCATATTTCCCTCCTTCCTGGAAAGTGGTGTTATGGTAGGGCCGGAGGCCAGGAGGTCATTTTACAGGTGAATATGACGAGCACTTCCTGGAAAGGTTTTCCTTACAATGGATACAAAAGACAGAGTGCTCTGCTCCGAAAACCCTCTGGTCCGGCCAGTAGGTGACAGGCTGCGCTCTCCGGACCCTGAATAGTGCACCGGGACGGTGCCGAACCCGGGGACCTCAGGCCCCGCCCCCAGCCCCAGCCCACAGGCCCAGGCCCCGCCCCCACCAGCCCCTGACTGGGTCCCATCGCCCACGGGCTCAAACTCCGCCCCTGCTCGACCCAGGACCCAGCCGCTTTAGCCCCGCCCCTCCACGCGCCCGCGTCGTCCCCGGCCCGGGCCCGGCCCAGCCCTCGGGCTCGCTCCCTCTCACCTGCCCCGGGCTCCGTCCCCGTTCTCGGTGGGCTCCTGGCCTCACACGGTGCTCGCAGCTGGCCTGCTCCGCTCGCCCAGAGTTCCGCTCTTGCCCTGCACCGAGCTCAACTGCAGGGCCGTTGTCGAGCGTACTGTTTTGGTAGCTGCCGCCCTCCGTAGTAGGGACGGCGTGCGAGGTCGGAGGTCGCGGGGTGGGGCTGGCGCCGGCTGCTTTCCCGTCTAACGCCTCTTCGCCTCAACCCTCGTCTTACGTCCCGCTCTCCTCTTCCCTGGTGTTCCAGCTGAGGGGGGACCGAGGCCGCGGGCGCGTGAGGCTGAGGGGTGGTCGGGCGCGCGTGGCGCGTCAAACGTGGACCCGGGCCGGGGGCGTGTGAGGCGGGACGTGGCCGGAGCGCGCGAGGTGAGGACCGGAGCCGGGGGCGGGGGAGGTGGGATGTGCCCCGGGGCCTACGGCGCCCCGGGCGTGGTCTTTCTGGGCCCCCCAGCGCGGACCCTGTGCTCCCTAGGCAGCGAGGATGGTCCTGAGCGACGAGTCGGCGGCGGGCGGCCGGGAGGAGCCGGAGGAGGACGCGCTGGCCCGCGGCGGCGCCCTGGAGTCCTTCGGCGAGAGCGCGGAGACCCGGGAGCTGCTCGGCCGCCTGCGGGACGTGCACGGGGACCCGGCGGCCCGCGAGGTGACCCTGGAGCGGTTCCGAGGTGCGTCTCATGGATCCCCTTTTCGGCGCGTACTCGGTGTGGGAGCGAGGGGAAGGGAAGCGGGAAAAGGGCCCTTGCCCATAGTTTGGGGATGGAAGTGGTCCAGCGGACACTGCCTCCCGCCCTGTGAGGGCCCCGTGCTCGGCTTGCTCTCCTGCAGATGCATGTTACCCGCGAAAGAGCACACGTTGCCTCTGACTTAGTTCGTTTTGTGCACAGGATGAGGATCGCGTTTCTTGGCAGAAATGCCTCCATTTCCTGATTAGTTTCGTTTGCCAGTGTCAGCGCCTGGTCACACACATGGCTTGCACACGAGGGGACAGTGCCTTGTGAAAGGAGGCCTCAGCAGAAGGGGTGGAAGGAGAATCTCTTCCCTGGGGTAGGGCCAGTAGGCTGGTTGGAGACGTTGGCAACAGATCCCAGAAATGGTCAGTGGGCTGTGCTGAGAGTACCAGGCATGCTTTGGACTTCACATGAGCCCTGAGGTGGAAGTGCTTTCTGAGATGGGCATCTATGGGAGTGTGGTCAGGCTTGAGAGCGTGGTCTGGGTGCTTAGCACACACATTCGTTTTCAAGTCTTGAGTGGAGTTTGTTTAGAAGCAGGTCCCTACCTTCTCCTCAGGGATGTCTCCATTTGACAAGTGCCCCAGTGACTTCTGATACCAGAGCTCCTCAGTACTACCTCGGAGAAACATTGTGGGAGCTCCCCTGAGCCCTATGGTGGTGGGTACGATTCTAGAACATAGTGTTTGGAGAGTTTTCAAGTTACGGTGTTAATGGACTGAATTTTGCCTCCCTCAAATATGTGTCAGCTTGGTTGGGCCATGGCTTTTAGTGTTATGTAATTATCTTCCATTTTGTGATCTGGTATAATTATTCTGTGTGTTGTAAATCTAAGGACCCTTGAAATTAGTGAGTCAGGATTTGAGGCAGTTATATTAATGAGGGAGTGTGCAGTTTACAGGATTAAGTTGTATCTTGAGTCACTCTCTTTGACATAGAAAAAGAGTTAAATAAGCCAGCAGAGATGAGATCAGTGTTACTAAGAAAGAAGAACCACGCGTGAAGTAAGACCTTTGGGCCCTGGGCACCTGAGCTGGGAACCTCCTAGACCCAAGGAAAGGTTGATGCCAAGACACATGGAGGACCTATCTCCAAGGGACACCAAGTCTTAACTTTCTCCTGGAGCTGCTGCCAGGAATTTGGACTTTTAGCCTCCTAAACTGTGAGGGAATACATTTGTTTGTGGAAACTTTCCACTTGCAGTTGTGTTAGCTGTATTAGTTAACCAAGGTAAAGGATCAGCAATAGGATGTAGAAGAGCCCAGGACTTGCCCTGTTTGCTGTTATAAGAGTAGATGTGTGCAGGAGAAGGTCTGTGCACATGTCACCTGCACATGATTGTTTTGGGGGCTGTGAAGGTGGGGCAGCTCAGGAATGGACTTTCTTGGCAAAAACAGTGAGCAAAGAACAGACGCTGGCCATGGTCCTGAGAATTCAAAAGTCTTAACAAGTTACATTGTTAGGGAACATTTCAGGAAAAGGCAACACAAAATATTGGAATACTGAGTATGGACAATTGAGCCGTTGGTTTAGAGACACAAACACCTAGAATTATAACCTGAAATGCAAAGAATTAAAAAGATGAGCTTCTTCAAGAAACCATTCGAGACAGACTGATCATAAAAAATACTACATATCTCTAACAGATTTATTTTCTCACCGTTCATGAGGCTAGAAGTCTGAGGTTAGGTAGCCACCTCTAGGGGAAGTTTTTTTCTATAGCTTCTGGGGAAAGGTCCTTGTCTCATTGGGCTTCTGATTCTGAGCGATCTTCATGCGGCTCAGCATTTCTCTTCCCTTCTGTTTCTTGGGTTTGGGAGCATGGGGTGAAGATGATGTGGGGCATCTACACTTGGCAGAGGGAGAAGGGAAGGAGTGGAAAGTGTGTGTGCTGAGGGAGAGGAGGCCTGTTTCTCTGTGCTGAGGGGGTATTGACTTCTGTGTGCTGAGGGGTTGCTGGTTTCTCTGTGTGCTGACAGGAGACTCATCTTTGTGCAGTGACGGGAGACTAATCTCTGTGTGCTGAGGGATGACTCACCCCTGTGTGTGCTGAGGGGACACTGATTTGTGTGTATTGAGGGAAGACCAATTTGTGTGTAGAGGGGAGATCTGCCTGCGTGTTGAGGGGAGACCTATCACTCTGTATTCTGAAGGGAGACTAGCCTCTCTGTGCAGATGGGAGACTGGTCTTTGACAGAGGATGTGGAGGCAGAACAAGGGAGTGAATAGAAAGAAAGCTGGGGTGGGTGGGGGTGGTTTAGAGGCGTTGGAAGGTGAGGACTGAGAGGAAGGGGCAGATAGTAGCAGGTGACTAAGGGGCTGGACCTGGTCCTATGAGAAAGCAGTAGGAGTTCTCCTAGGTGGCTGCCTGACATCTGTGAGGGGAAGGGACACTGGCGGTGAGTGAGGAGAACAGAAAGCCCCCTGAGCCGATGGTGCAGAGCTAGCGGTGTGGGTTTATTCTCATCTTCACTTATTTTCTTTCAGTGATCATGGACAAGTATCAGGAGCAGCCTCACCTGTTGGACCCTCACCTTGGTAAGAATAGTGGCTGAGGACTTTGATTTTGATAGTTGAGTGGCAGGTGATTGAAGGCCTTGGAGTGTGTGTGTGCTAGCACATGCACACCAGGAAGAAGTGTTGAGTGGACCTGTAATGGTGGTGTGAGTCCCAACATTGTGTTGAACTTCGAGTCGATTTGTTTGAGCTACTCCTGTCACAATTGTTGCTATTTGGAGAACAGATAGTTGCTTAGAGGATAATGTGCTTGTGTTCATTTAGATGCCTTTCCCATAATGGACCATAGGACCAAGTGCTTTTTACCTGGGTCACCACTTAATTCTTTGGCCAGCTCAGGAGGGCCTCTTGTCATCCCGTTTTACAGATGGGGTCACTGAGGCATCTTAGTTTTTTTCTTTTTTGAAAAGCTCAAATAGAAGAAAAGTTTATTGTTGGAAGAAGTATAATTTAAACGGGGTAGGGCAGTGGGAGGGGGGCGTGAGGGGAGAAACCACACAAAATGAAAGTAATTCACTGAGGCCCCCCCCCCCCAACTTTATTTTGAAGCTTCATATATAGAGAATGAGGCTTTTGTTTGTCTTTTGTTCTCTTGGATATATTTCATGCTGATTTTCAAATATTTTCTTTTCTACCTACAGAAGTCACAGTTGCTCCTGGCAGTGATGGGGGTGGGGTAGGGTGGGAGGTAGCAGGTAATGTAGCACAAGGGGGGTGGGGCCGCAGATTGCTGGGTTCAGTGCCTTGTATGTGCCGGCTGTTCCTTTAGGGATGCCCTTCTGCCTACCTGACCTTCCTCCACCTGTGTTTCCCTGTGCAATGGGAATCTGGATACCTGCCAGACATGTCTGTGAAGCGGAGGGCCTGGGTACACGTGAGCGCTTTGAAAGGCACTGGCTCTTTGAGTCACTCACACCCCTTCTTAGCAGCACAGGAGCATATAATTCTTGTGGACAGTTTGCCTAGGTGGAGACAAAGGTGTTACTCCACTGTCTTCCCATATCGCCAGGCCCTCTGTCCGGTCCTTCCTTAGGAGCTCTTTTCCTTTGAAGCGTCCAGGTGGCTTGCTTGCCACCCCTGTCTCTTGTCCTGCTTGCTGGGAGTGCACTTAGAGGCTGCTGTGAATGGGGTATCCAGAGTCTCAGGACAGATCCGCTGAGCCCCTTCACTTTTCTCTGAGCGTTGCCTTTTGACCTCTTTGTTTTGCACACGGTCATGTTCTTGAAATTATTTTGGAAATCATTTTTTTACTCCTGAGAGTTCTTGTTCTTCGCTTGATATGTTTTTAACTATTTATTAGAGTAATGGTTCCTGGTGGGCAGGTGTTCAGGTTTTCCAACTGTCAGATCCCGTGGTCCTCCTGGTCCCGAATGCCAACTCAGACCCCCACTATCTGCTGCTCGAGGCTCTGGACATGGTCTGAGCCTGGGCCACCATCCATGACCGGAGCCTCTCAGGCTTGCTCTGTCCAATAGAACTTTGAGTGCTGATGGGACATTCAGAGTCGAGAGCTCTCCAAGCACAAGCAAAGCTGTTGAACGCTTGCATTGAGGCTAGTGTGATTGAGGAGATGAGTTTCTAATTAACTTTGTTGAAAGTTTAAAAGCTACACGTGGCTGGCAGTGGTGTTGGTTGCCACCATGCCAGAGTAAGCCTCCAGTTCTCTGCCACTATGTAGAGGGGCAGCCAGTGGGGGTCCCCTCCTGTTCTTAGGACGTGGAGGGGTGGTGGCGGGCAGGGAGACCCTGGGCCCTCCCCTGTTTTCAGTCCCTATCCTGGCAGTCCTACAGCCTGTGTTCTTTTTTTTTTTCTTTAATCATTTTGTTAGGGACTCATACAACTCTTATCACAATCCATACACACATCAATTGTGTAAAGTGCATTTGTACATTCATTGCCCTCATCATTCTCAATACATTTCCTCTCCACTTAAACCCCCAACATTAGGTCCTCATTTTTCCCCTCCCTCCCTGCTCCCCCCTCTCTCATGTGCCCTTGATAGTTTATAAATTGTTATTTTGTCATATCTTGCCCTGTCCGACGTCTCCCTTCACCCACTTTTC